TCAGGATTAATGTTTCTCTAAGCTTGGCTCACTTCACGCTTAAAGCTTGATGTCATAGTTTTATTTTATTTATAATTCGGTTTCTTTATTTGTTGTTAGAAAACTGATTGAAAAAATAATAAGTACTACCCAGGCATTATATATAGATGTTATTCTTCTTTATCCTCAAATCTGGCATAATGCCAATATTTTCTTATTTTGCTAATAACCTTTTTCTTTGTACTATCTACCAAATGGATTGAAATAGTATACAATTAAGAACTGAACACTGATAAAATTTTAAGTGTAATTGCTTTCAGTTATTTTTTAATGGTATGAGGTTGACTAAAATTATATTGACAATTTGATACCTTCATACTAGTCTAAAATACTAATAGGTACTAATGAAACAAAAAACTATTTTTTTAAAAAAAGCAAATTTATGGATTAATAAAAAATATCCAATCTAAACAGAATTTTCCATAGGCGGAACCTGGTTGAAATTGCAAATGGGGACTAATAAAAGTAAATAGAGTTCTTAAAATTGTTTTAACAATTAGAATATTAATTTTTTTTAATAACTTCTTTCCAAACTCTATTTAGCATCTCTCTCAAACCCTGTTTACAATTCTGACACTTTAATATTCAATCTATAAGGCGCTGCCATCGAATTTTAATCTCTATGTAGTATAATATAGAGAGAACTCAGAGAAGTATTTTTTTATTTTTGAAATTGCAGTATTTAAAAAAAAACATTGTCTTGTAAACTGCTGAATCCTAGATATTATTAGGTAGAATGGCCGGAAAGCTTTTCATAAACTATTATAATAGAAGAAGAAATTCGCTCATTCGAAAAAAACATTAACTTTGGATTGAAGGGGTAGTAATTATTATAATTTAACAAAATTGAATTAAGATAAATGAAAAGTAATGATACAATTATATTCTCAGTGAATAAAATCCAACAATTAAATAAATATAATTTTTAAGCCTCCTTTCCCTTCCTTCCAAAGTTATGACCAGGATTTAACAACCAAAAAATAGATTTTTTTGAGCATGCTCAGTCAAGACCTTTGATAAAATTTGCCTAAAATTCCAAACACTTTTGTCATTTTTATGTTTATTAAACTTTTTTTTATTACTATTTCGTCGCCTGAGAATTAGAATATTCATTTCCACTTTTTATAATTTTTCAGGAGAGCCATTTTAAAAATTAAGTTTCCATCGTTTTCAATAGGATGGTTAACCTAGTATCGGATTTAATTTGAGTTATTTTATAAATATCTCGAATTTTTTAATGATAATAGAATAGTATAATTATAAATAATTGACGTAGAAAAAGTCACATGTGACACAAAGTGGATATACCCCTTCTCATGGGACGATTTATTGTACATTAATGACCAAACAAAGATGAAATAAGATTTAAAATACAAATAAAACACAACGAGGGAATGAGTTAATAAGGCAATGAAAATATCCTCTGATTTAACCGAAATTCGTCCGCCCTGGTCTTGAGTTTGTAAGAGTGGTCATAATGACTGGAATGTTTAGAGATATCCATTTATTTATCAAATTTCAATTTTTCTGTAGCCACTAAATCTTTGTTTAGATTTGATGGAGCGAAAGGTAAATGCAAGAAAACTTCCAAGCTGAAAACTTGTCATCTTCCTAAGATAACCTAGTAATTCCATCCTTCTATTGTCAATAAACAGATTGATGGGTACCGTCGTGGAAGGAATCCCAGCTGATTTTAAAGCATGCTTGCATTATAAACAAAAAATGATGTAAAAAAATCTTCATTTTTGTTTTTGAAAGATTTTTGCTCAAAATTTTTTCAAAAGTTGATTTTAAATCATAAAATATATTAAAAAATTTTTTAAATATTATTATATAGAAAGAGGAAGGTTCGAATTCAAATAAAGTGACACTTATTTCAAAAATGAGAATATATAAAATAAACAGAATATTTGAAATATGAGATTTAAATTATTCTTTTAGGAAAACTTTTATATTAAGTTACTTACCCACTTGTCTAATAATCTACAAATTTATTTTAAATAATTTCTTTTTTTTCCCCTTTTTATTTACATTTATAAATTTTTATTAAAGTAAATTTAATTTTTATCATTAATTATTTCCTATAATTGATCAAACAAAACATCCTCCAATTTTAATATTTTAAGTTTAAAGAAATGTAAATAAATTACACACATAATTTTATATTATATTCAAAAACTGTAACTAAAAAAATAACTTTAACTGGTTAATTTAAATAAACTTGTATAAAAGTTTTTTAAAAAAAATATATTTTTTAGAATGTAACGGCAAAAGTAACTATTTACTTCCTAAATATGTTTAATATTTATAAATTCATTACATTTTATATGTTATGATTTCCTAATTTTAAAATTAACAGTTTATTAAAATTAAATTCTCATTTACATTAAGCGCTCCTGTAGAACATGTTTTCATCAAGGGAAACTTATTTCGGAAAAAAACGACACCTTTGAGACACTAATTTTGAAAATATTTTGTTAATAATTGTCAAATAAAAATTTATTTCGCTCGAATTTTTATGCAAAATAAATATTATATTGTGTCATTTATATTATAATTCATCTTTCTATTAATACCTAAATCTACGGTCCGATTCAAAACATATGGAACGGATTGCGGTCTTCAAATAAAAGTCCGTTTCAGACCGATGTCCTAAATAAAAAAGACCGTTCCACAGTCTTTTAAATTTTTCTTTGTTATTTTAAAAATATTTTAGTTAACTTTTGTTATATTATTTTATTAAAATAATTTTATATTAACAATATCAAAAAAAAAGAATCACACAAAAATTTATTAAAAAATTATATGAATTGAATAATAAAGTAAACTTAAATATTTATAAAAGACCAATCCGGACTAAAAGTCCAAGTTGGGGTCCTCGAAAAAACTCAGTCTGTCAGCCGGTCCGATGTAGTCTCAGTCTAAGACCAAAGCGTTATTCAATACCTACATCGATGTTATATGGTTATAAAAAAATAAAAACAATCCTATCTACTCAAAACTTAAATCTAGGCATTATGGCCTGGAGTGATCAGCGTCAAAAAATACTTTAATTCGTTTTCATATCCATATTGATCATTTATGTGTTAAAAAGTTAAATTACTCCTAATCCTCTCCCAAAACTCGCCCATTAATAGGAGGTTGGCCTTTAATTGAAAGATCGTTTTTGATTGGTTCTCGATTGAAACTTAAATTGATATATTTATTTTCATATATATTTATAAATAATATAACGCGTTATAAATAAGATTCTTGTTACTTATCCCTTACATAATTAAATTCTTAAAGGTATTAAAACCACGTGATTGATGTTCCAATTATAATTTTGAATTTGTTACTTTAAAAAAAAAATTACATTATATGTAGTAGTAGTTCAGCAAAGTTTAGTACATTTTTAAAACTTAAATCCATTTGTAGATAGGGCCGTCTACCTCAGTTAGTCATTGCCAAAGAGCTGCACAAGTAGTACCAAAAATCAATATCAATTTTTTATTATGAATTAAGGATACATAAAAAAAAATTTGAATTCACTGGGGTATGTTTGGTACTCTATACATGCTAGAATACCATTCCGAAAAATGAGGATTTTTTTTAAAAAAAACGCGCTATAAATTATTTAAGTTTATAACAAAACTCCGGGTCAATGACGCATAAGCCATGAATTTTCTAATCTCCTACAGCATATTATTTACATGTAAGAATTTATTATGCGAAAGATATCAGATGTAAATTATAAACTATTCTTTTTTTTTAAAAAAATGAAGGAGTGCGATTAAGTATAGGCATGTTATAATAAGCGCGCGAACCATATGTTGATAGATAAATAAATCTCATATCCTAAAATATTTTTATAAATAATCTATTACCATTTATTCACATTATAATAATTTAACGATTAAAATTTATGTAGTGATCAAAGACGATTTGGGTTACCATATAGCAAATTAATAAACAGCAACAAAAATATCATCCATTGTTTTTAGAAAAAAAAATATATCAGAAACCTGCAGGCCTGGTCCGGTTAATCGCCATTATCATAAAATTTAAAAATAAATGAATATATTTTTAAAAAATCCGGGTCAGGCCGTGCAAGTGGTACTTTCTGCAGGTTTCTGATATATATTAACCCTAATCCATATCTGACGACCTTTTAACTTTAACAACTAGTCGTCCAAAAGATTGGATTTAGAAAAATAAAAAAACAGTCCCGAAGAGAAACGAACAACAGACCAAATCACTTTATGCACCGATATCTCGAACCAAGCTACGGTTGTTATTCAAAAAACATTACGTCATCAATCGGCCTAAAAAATTTACGCCAATCGTATTTTTTCAATAACCAAAATTAACACCCATCTATTCCTATCCCTTAATTTTTATTGTTAAATAATATAATCACCTTTTTTGTATAAATAATATATTGCATTTACTACATTTATAACGAAATATAATAGTATTTTAAATAGTATTTTATAGATTAAATATCGAGTAATTTTTTGGGGATAAACTGGAACGGAAAAATGCCCTTGTTCCGAGTTACATGATATTAAATAAATAGATAAAAATATTAATTGTTTTACAGGAATACTCATTCATTTTCTTATATAGCATTGGTATTTAAAATCTTTTTAGTATAAAGGTGTTTGAAAAAAAAGAATTAACATAGCGAAATTACTAATTAGAAGTAATTGATTAAAAACTATAAAACATGAAATAAAAAAAAAATTCAGATGGGGCTAAAAGGACCAGTATAAGATATTGCTATAAATATTGATATTATATTGTGATGGTTGTAAACAATTTAACAATTTTATAAGAAAGTTTAGCAAAAAATATTATTTTTTTACAGATTTTATCGAATTTTGAAAATAGAAAAAAAATGTATGAAAGATTAAAGAAAAGAATAATTATATTATATCTTTTCTTATTTTAAAAATAACTTTTATTAATAGACCTAATTCTTTCAATTTCAAAATAAATTATTATCAAAGACAAATACTTAATTTCTAGGAAAAGAATTGCTGCTAGAAAAAAACTTAAGGTCATTTTATAACGATTTTTGAGGATAAAATTTTTTGCTTAGTAAAAGGCTATAAAAATACATGAATTGAATCCCCCTTTTTTAAAAATGTACAAAGATTGAGAAAACCCTAAAATGTTAGTTTAATACCCAAACATATGTATAATGTGTCAAATGTTCAATTTTTAAAAAAGGTCGATTTTTTTAAAATGATGATCAAAGAAAATAATTCAGAGCTAATCTTTTGGTATGTACAATTCTATAAGTCTCATACTCATAACAACACTAAAAGCCGTAATAATAAAAATAACAATAGGCAGTGCAAGAATAAACGTTTTAAACTTCCCTCTAGTAAGTATATACAAAAAATCGTTATAAAAATTTAAGAAAAACACAAATACCTCCCGTCCTCCTTTACATTTATAGATTACTATCATCTAAGTAGGCGGGTTGGGGGAGACGTGTATAATACTTTTTTTTGTTTTTAAAAAAAATAGATTTTTATAAATAAATTTATCGTAAATTTGGTTTGCTTATTTTGTCACGGGATTAGCGCTGTAAAGCCACACAGAATAGAAGACCAAGGCTGTGGCTATGGCCGTTTTAAGTCCCCCAGCCGGGATACCCAAGATAAGCTTAGCTAACAAAGCCGTAAATATGATTTCTAATGCTGAAGCAAAATTTTTAAGGATAGAATCCAGATATTTGAGGAAAAAACTGGTTATAAGACCAATGCCGGCACCGTTGATAATAATGAATATTAGTGTCATGTCGGAAGCTATGACGTTGATCAAGTTAGAAGGATGATGGGTGGTCATTATACCGCTGGTAGTGCCTAATATTATATAATATATTGTAATTTAGGCGATCCTAGATATTATGATAATAGCTTTTTATATAACGAGTCATTTGTTTTTTTTGAGATTAAAAGTAGCTGAAGGAATTTGTAATTGAGAAGTATTCATTCCTCCGGTAAAACACTAACAAAAACAAATTTATAATGAGAATCCAGGATTCCAAATCTAGAATGCTAAAACTAAAATCGCTAAAAATTGGGAATCTGGCTTATATCTCCTAAAATAATTTTTAAAATAAATTTGAAATTAATATTACTTAAATTTAAATTAAGTTTTTCAAAAAAAATAATTAAAAATAGAGGAAATATAATCGATATTCCCAGTCAAATTGAGAGCAATGATAATATTTCCTATATTTTTTAGTGATTTTAATAAAAAAACCCATTTAAAATACAAGCGTTTACTTCACTGCATCTATTAATATTAATTTAAAATTTACTTAAAAATTGAAATATAAGCATTCCCAATTTTTAGCGATTTAGAACCTATTCAGAATCAAGTTATTGCACAAATCATTGGTACCTCAAGCTTAAAATTTATTCAAGCATCCTCACCTTCTATAAAACTTTAAATATATAATATACCTGTATATATTGCAGAAAAGATGGAGTAAAGGTAATTGCAAATCACAGAATCGAGATACATATAAACGTTTTGAATCATTATAGGTACCTCTTCGGTCGAATTTTTATCACTTAATTTTGTCATTTCGGTCACAAGACCCGGTGATAACGTCTCGCCATTCTGGAGATTTAAGGAATTTTCATTGTCCGAGATCATGAGAATTTTGGTTTTATGAGGGTCATCGATAAGGGGGGTGTGTTTGTGGGATGATTTATCTGGTGGAAGGAAAGTTTTTCCTGATTTGTTTTTGAGCAAAAATTCGTTGTAAACGCCGGCAAAACATGAGCAAAGGATCTAAGGAATATATTATAATAAATAATAAAATGAATATCCCTTCAATATTATCAATTTATTTTTATTTATATTATTCAACAACAACAAAAAAATATGGGAAATCAGATTTATAATTCTTATGCATTTTTTTCCCCTCATTAAAAAAAGGATAGTATGTCCTGAAAAGGCTTGGCCAGTATAACCTTCATTTTGAAATTTGCGAAATTTCGCATTTGAATTCGCAATTTTTAGCAAGTAAATTTATATAATAATGAATGTTGAGATTAGCGTAAAGTTTTGCTTTTCAATCAAGCCATAAGATTTCTTATAAATGAAAATAAACAAGATTTACTTATAAAATATGTTAGCATTTTTAGGTAAAATTCATTATAAAAATCTCTGTACTTAAGAGAAAAAAAATTTCGAACAATATTTGCTCAAAATTCTTTTGACTAATCACGACACCTTCATTCTAATCACAAAATAATAAAACTTTTAATTTAATCCTCAAATCAAACCTTAATCGGATGATATAATGATTGCCCTTATTTACATGGGATTGGAACAATATTGCCTATATTTATAATTATATAAATAAATAAGACCAGTAGATCTCGCCTTGGAGCATGCCATATATTTCAAAAATGACAGGTCGGGACATATAAAAAAATTTATAACCTCTCCGAGCCAGGCTTACAAATAAAAAAAAAATTTTTTTTTATACCCTTGTAAAAATGAATTTAAATTATATCAATAGAATCAGATGGGAAATACTAAAATGGATCGTTTTAATATTCATTTATACTGCTAATATATTCAATTTCCCTTTTGAAAAAATTTACAAAACATAGAGCCAAAATTGTGCTCCTAAAAATAAAAAAAATCCGAGTGGGGAAAATATTTACTTAAAATAACCGGGCCAGGGGTAAAAATTTCAACATAATGTATATCTTCTATAAAATTATATAACAAACTGGCAAATCATTGATGGGGTCTTTAGTTTGACTAGTCATCAGTGATATGCAATGATATTACTTTTTAGTTGAAAAAATATAAATATTATTTATTGAAAAAAAGCAAGATATAATTCACCAATATTTTATTTATTATCTACAATTAATTTAATTTTTATTAAATTTATGAAAAGTTAGTTATCATTTTAAGGTCTAAATTACCAATACAAAGTATCAGAGCACTACCCTACCCCAGTCATATCTAAAATAAATGAAAAATATTAACTCTTTTTAACAATGTACCTTATTTAAAATATGACATTAATATCCAGGTTAGAGCCCTATCTACAGGAACTTACCAATTTTCTTAAAAAATTTATTGGAGGCCTTTGCAGAAACTTGGGGAATGCATGAGGAATTATTTAACACCGAGTTTATAAAATTATTAAGGAGCAATCAATTTTATATTTAGCTTTCATAACAAAAGTATGATCGATATTAGTGTTGTTAAATGGTGCAACTTGGGTCTTTAAAAACGGCCCTATTAAGGTTTGGGGCAAAATTATACCATATAAGCCTGGAGATTTTGCTTATAGATAGCAGAAAGGTTTGGACCTCTATTTATTAAATCTCGAGGCTTATATAATACTATATTGGCTAAAATCTTAATCAGGCCATTTTTAAAAATCGAACTAAATTGGACCGTTTAACAACACTAATTCATACTATGGATATTGACATATTATCCTTATTTTAATTCAAACATTTTAATTCATAAATATATATATATATATAAATATTTCTTTAGAAAAATCATATTGAATTTACTTGTATAAAAATGAAAACCAGGTGCCAATTCAAATTGATTGAAGTTAATAAATTAAGCAATGAAGAAATGATGTAAATAGTGGCATGTTCTTTATTAGGGTTCAAAGTTTCAGTATGAATAGCTTCTGTGTTAAATTTAGCCTGTTTAATCACACATCCTAGAGTCAAAATTATGAGAGAAACCCATTGTTTTTTTGTCAATTTTTTACTAAAAAGTATCTTTATAAACAGTAAATTATTCAATGAGGTTAGATTATAAGAAATAGCTATAAATAATACAAAAAAATTGGGTTTTTCGATAAAATAAATGCAAATTGGAAATAGTCTCACATAATATTAACCTCATGTTTACTAAAAGATGCAATGGACAAAAAGGTTAATTGTATATTTTTTTTTAGATACTCAACATGAAAACAAGACTTCCAATTTTCATAAATCAACATGGTTAATTTGTTCGGTTTCCAATAAACAGAATTTACTTATTTAACATAGATATAATGCTTTAAAATTAAAATTAGCTCTTCCCCTTTCCTTAGAGTAATTAAATATATGTGCTATTAATGGATATGGGTGTGGTCTCAGTTTGATCCCTTTGTAATCAACCCACAATGAGCAGAGACCTCCAGGCTCAGTCCTAAGCTCTGCCTGTACAGGCCGGGCCATATTTTAAAAATTTAAATTATGGGCTGGGCTAGCCCTAAAAAATTTTTTTAAAGAAATATTCAGGCCAGGCTGTATATTTCCAAATATTTGGAATCACCTAGCTATAAAAATCAAAAATAAATAAAATATATTTTAAAATAAACTGGCTGGGCCTGAAATTTTTTTAAAAAAAATACGGGCCAGGCTGTACAAATGGTACCTCTGCAGGTCTCTGATTATGAGTATAAGTGTGTGTGGTTTTCTCACTTAAATTAGTCTAATTAGATTGAATGAGGAATACCTAGCATAGCTCTGTTAAATAATCAAAAGTAGAGAGTGATGTGCTTAAATCATGCAAGTATGAACTTTAAATACCTGGTATATAAGTCCAGTCACAACAACTCTAAATTGCAAAAGAATAAAATATGTTGTAGGGTCATAATTTGATAAATTAATAAATTGCAAATTATTGTATAAACAATAGAGAAAAGCTGGAATCATATACTTCACCAGAACTATATTATTTTTTAATAAGAAATATATTGTTGCATAAAATTAAAATAGGAAAAATAATATCACATGAAGCATAATCTAAATATTAGAATCTAAGGTAATATATTGTAGCAATAAATGGAATAACAATTGTAATATCTTTTTAATAAATCAATAGATATTATAAATAAAAGTAACCTTTTTTGTGTAATACACATTCGCTAATAAATCTATGAATACTTTGACTATAATAATTTTATAAAATTATTTTAAAAAGAAATGATTAAATAATTACTTTTTTAAGTATATAGCTATTGATGCAAATAGCTTTAAATATTCTGTAAGTAAAACTATGATCGTAGGATCATAACTATATTTATTGGTTGTTGATTTAGTTGATGTAATTAATAAACCTTTAAACTTAACGTTAGCAATTAAAGTATATATTATCAAACCTTGATTTATAAAAAGAATCATATATGTAATAAATATAACCACCGTAATATTTGATGGAAATAATTCTCTAAAATGGTGAAATATTGCATTATGAATTATTTTGAGATATGGGATCATATTGAGCTATATGATATTTTCATACCAAAATAATAAATTTAAACCAGCTCAGCTGTTTTATATTTGTAATCGAATGAACTGTGCATTGGTCAATATATAGCAATTTACTAATAATGCTAATTCAAAAAAAAAATATTGTAAACACCAATAACACACATTTTATTTACCTTCAATCCTAACTTATTTGCTGTGGTCAGAAGAAAATACTCTGAGCTTGGCTCCAAATCCAAAAGTAAAATCTAAAGGGGGAAATAAATAGACGTACCGCCTTAAGAACCAACGCTCTGTACATTTTTTAATTATAATAGGCTAAGTTTTAAGCTTCAAACTGCCCTAAATTTTGATACTATTTATTAATATTAACACTCATAGAAATTAATAAAATTCTCCAATATATAAATCGAGTCAGGGAATTTTATAAAAAATATTTGTATTTGTAGTATTTAAAAAAATAAAAATTATGTAAAGACGATTCAATAATTAATAAATATCAATAAAAATAAGTTACCCTTAATTTTATAATATATAAAGTGTTTTTAAATTTAAAAATAATTTCAACGTATAAAAAATATTTGGCGAATGTAAAATAGAGAAAAAAACTATAAAGATTATTAAGGGATTAAGAAATTAAAAAGATGCCTAAATTTATTGCAGTTTAGTGAAATAAATATATAGCCAATTGTCTACATTATGTAATTAAGAGATGAGATAATATTCTAGGAATCACGGACAAACTTGGATAAATAGATCCGGACAAAAATACTCATTGAAAGACAATAGGCAAAAATACCCCAATCCTAGAAATTTGTTTAATTTACAAAGGATCATTTTTAAAATGTTCGCCTATAAAAATTGGCATATTTTTGCCCAAGACATTTATGTCCGTGATTCATCTTTTAAAAGTCAGAGCAAATCTATATTATAATATTCTTTAAAAATATATCAAAAACATGTCTATTTTACTAATATCTTGGTACTTGAAGGCTTATACAATTTTCCTCCGAATAATATAAATTATATATTATGTAAATACGAATGTATATATATATATATATCTGTGGAAAATAATTTAGAATAATTTCATTAATTTGTTCCAATTAATACAAATGATAATGATACTATGATATTTTCTCATCACCCGATATTTTGTAGTACCATTCTTAAAACTATAGAAACTTTGATTTCAATAGTTATTATGGCTTAAATAATTTACAAAATTTAATTTAAAAAATGTAATGCATACCCTCTAATGGCGATACACTTATTTAATTTTATATTTTAATATCACCTTTTATTTTATTTTTTTTCATATATTAAAAAAAATCGTTGATAAAAAAAAATGTATTAGTAAAAATTTTCCAAGACAAAAAATATTTCTCTTTTAGGTCCTAGACAACGTGCTAAGATGAGATAAAGTAAACAATTTTTACCCAATTGAAAGACAGGTCCAAGCTCTTATTTCCAGAATTATAATAAATACATGGAATTAAAAGAACAAATAACTCTTATTCTATTTATAATGTTAAAAATATGGGAAAAAACATATCATTATTATAAATGTAATTTTATTTCATCAAAATACAACATTGTTAATAAGCTCATTAAATTCTCCTGTCTAAAGTCATAAATATCTTATCTTGCACGTTGGTCATAGACCTTCCCAAAATGAGCGAACGTGAATTATATCAAGGCCTATCCTTCATATAATTATGCCGATTTTTATCTCAGGATATCAACAAACCTTGTACCCAGATGAAACAAAATTTATGACTGGAACTGACCCTATTCCAATATAATAAATAATTTTATTTAGTGGAAGATAGAAAATATATTATAAGGAGAAATAGAATAGATATAAGAAAAAAAATACTATAGTGCTTTAAAAATTTCTAAAAAAAATCAAACGCATTAGCTTTCAGCGTTCATTGACATAAATCGAACACCTTCATGTTCACTTTCAAAAAAGGGAACGCGTTCACGCTCGTTCAAAATTTTATATTTTTTTTAAATTTAATTTAATATGTCATATTTTTTTAGCACAATATAATTAGACATGTTAAAAAATAATATAGTTTTATTTTGATAATATAATTATAAATATAATATAATATAGCGAATAAAAAGATATTTTTATTTATAAAATATTTTTCTTATTCATTTTTAATAATTATTATTTCCCAAAATTTTCATCTGATAACGCTTGACAGTTAATACGGCATTAGCTATCCTAAAAAAGGGCTCTACAGGGGCAGATGAGGAGATTGCGATATTATACTTAATAAACAACTCTTTTAACGTTGAGAATTTATTAAAAACATTTATGGTTATTATTTTGTCCTTTGCTTTAAAAAATTGAGATAAGTCATCCTTCTCCAATCCATCCTCTACTTCCTAGTCAAAGAAAGGATATTTCGAAATTAACAGTTGTTGCAATATCATTTCCAGTGTTTTCAATGCATTTTTCATAACGCTATAAATTTATTTTTATAGGTTAGTTCTGTGGAAATTTTATCTATGGCCATTGAAGCTTTTATACTGGATGTATAATTGCAGATAACACATTGATCTTCATATATATGTTCAAATCTTTAAAAAAAATATATATGTAATTAATTTGTTAGTGATAGGTTTAATACCTTTTATTAATTTTATTTAATACTGCGATCCATGGTTGACCATATTTTAAGCTATTAATTTTTTTAATTTTAAAATAACTATCGTTATTGATGGGGTCGCCCAAATGCATTTTTTCTTCAAATTTAATTATTTTACTTAGTTATGCTCTAATATTTAAAATAAAATAATTAATATTACAATCAAATGTCGTTTTAAATTGGAACTTACTGATATAATACTTTTTGGGCACAATTTTCATTTGGTAAGCATTGAATTAGTTCCTTCAATATAGGATGTTACTGTAAAATATTTATCATATTTGAACCATGGTAACATTAATTTATCTGATTTTGAATTTTCAGAATCAGATGACGATGATGAAATAATAATACCCATGCTTTTGTTAATCTATTAAATTAAAATTAAACAATAATATTAAAATTAAATATATTATGATAATGGCGTGTTGAAAAAATTGATATGTGAAAAAGGAAAAACAGTTAATTTATATAATATAAGACTTTCTTCTTAAAAAATTCGGATTAATATTAAATATAAAAAGTGTTTTTAAAACTGAACGAACGTTAAATTCGAACGCGTTCGTCATAAAAAATGCGTTAATGTTCAAAGTTAGTCAAAAATAAAAGGAATGCCGTTCATTATTTTTTCCCAAAAAACGAACTTTGTTCACGAACGCGTTCATAACACATTTTTCCTAATAAAAGATTAATAGATGCAAAGGAAAATATTTTGATTACATTGTTAATATGTACTATCTTTATCTTAGAACATTTTTTTTAAAATCCTCTCATATGAAAATAGAATGAGGCCCATAAATTTTTGAACATTAAAATTTTTATTTTCTTTTTGTATGTATTTTTTCTTTTAGCTTACGTGTTATTTTATTTATCTCTTGAAGAGGGAAACTAGGAATTAGGTATGTCCAACCTGGTTTGAATTTTAATTCAATATGGGCATAAAGTTAATGAAAAGATTTGTTGACAATTAGATCTATTCTTGGGAGGTTAGTCATAGAGGAGTCATAATTTTTTAAAAAAAACCCTATTTCCGATGAAATAATTCGACAAGAATATTAAATTAAGATTTTATATTTAATTATCTCTAGGTTTTCGGACTTAGTATAGGGGAGGGGGGTTTGGTGGGTAAGTGGAGTAATTTTTGTAAGTTGAAATCTTTTAAAAAATAATTATGCCCGACACTAAATATAATTAATTACCCGTTATTCTTATAGGATATGGTAAAAAAAATTTCTATTTAATCTAAAAGTGAACAGAAATCATTTTTTATAAGAGAGGGAAAACAATACAGACATAGGTCACGTTTAAACAATTAATTTGTTTAAAAAAAATTGTCTTCTTTTTAAATAAAAAAAAAGGGAGTAAAGAAAGTATTTAAATGGATCATTTTTTTCTTATCTTAAACATGAATGTATTATGGTCCAATTCTGAAATTGCCGTTGCAAAAGTTGATTTATTTAAATTAAAAACCATTTTTAATATACCTACCCCAAACCTTTAATTAATTCTACACATACCACTTTCTTTAATCCCTACTCCCTACTTCTGATACTTGTTTAATTTTAAATGTATTTCATCCAATTAAGAAAGCTCCAGTTGAACATTCCTTGTGTTGAGCTTTTATCACAAACACCAACACCTTCTTCATTGAGGTTTGATTTTAATAATTAGGTTTTGAGCTAAGTTTAATATTAATTTATTGAAAAATAATAATATTGATTCATCATTTTATGATTTTATTTTAACGATTTCAAAATATTGAATTTGGGGCAAATATTATTTATTTAACAAAAAAAAATATGGGTAATAAATAGATAAATAATTTTAATGTAAAAATTATTATTTTTTATTGATTTTATAATTAATTTTTTTTTATATTCTCACATCTGTCCCAAATTTGCCGACAATCTTGTTAGTAAAAAAAATATATTATTTTGAAATTTAAATTTAAATTTTTAATGACATTTTTATGAAATATAATATTTTTTGCCTTCCACCTAGGGTTATAAATCCGCTTGTTTGAAATTAATGGATTGCCTTGCGTTACGTAATTATTAAAAAATTCCAGATTTATTATTATTCCAATAATAAGATGTTTTCCCCTTTTACGAGCTTTCCTATCTTACCTGAAACTTCGTCAAGAAAAACT